TATGATACTTTACATGACGTCCTCCACCCCTGAACGTTTCCGCCGTTCTTGGTTTTGGGGTGTGACAGTGAAGTCGGGTGGAAAAGATGATCCGGGTGAAGGCCGGAGGGAATGGAAACTGGGTGAAGAGATCGGCAACAATGGTGATAATCAGACGTATGGTTTTTTCTATAAGGTATAGGGTTTGAATTTGATATCCCTTGTTTAAAGGGATAATAAATATCTTAATTATCTACCACAATTAAATATGTAAAGACTACTATTATATCCTTAAATGATTTAATTAATTATTTATTATTTCCTGAAATCTCATTGGTGCTTATAAACACAAACTAGTTGTCAAAAACATATGAACCTACCTCTCTCTCTCTCTATATATATATATATATATATATATATATATATATGTGTGTGTGTGTGTGTGTGTGTATGTGGGGGGGGGGGGTCTGTGTGAGTTGTATGTGAAGACAACCCATACCAAGATTCGTCGTTTTGATTATCAAGTTTGCTAGAACTTTGATTCCCCCCTTGCTAACATAGCACTTACCAACTGTTGAGCTCTTAATTTCTCACTCTAAAAGCACTAAGGGAGTCGTTCCCTTTTACCAACACCATGAAAGTAGCTTCCTAGGGTTTCCTGCTTACTTGTGACCATTAATTTGGATCTTGAAGAAAATTTATTTGAATTGCTGATTATGAAAGGGAATAGTTTGGTTTCAAAGCTTGGGTATAAAGAAGACGAAATGGGTTATAGAGAGAGAGAGAGAGAGAGAGAGAGAGAGAGAGAGAGAGAGAGTGGTGAGTGGTGAGTGGTGATACCGTGGGGGTGGGGTTGGGGGATTTATTTATTTATTTATTTTTATTAGTAAAGATAACAAAAAGATTAAAATCAATAGTAAAAAAATTAAAAGGTTAAAATAAGCATTTCAAGTTTTCCAGTAACCAAATTTACGACAAAACTAGACAAAACTTGTTGAAAATGACTATTTCACCAAATTTTAAAGGGTTTGGATGTTTCATCAAAATACAAACCACAAGAACCATTTTTTTGCAGTTTTATTTATTCATTTATTATTATTTTTTTATTTTTTTTATAATCTTACATGCATTAAAAGTTAAAACAAATATTTAAAATAAGCTAGAAACCATTTTATAAAACGAAAAGTATTTAAAAACACTTAAAAATATATAAGTAACATTTGGAAAAGAAAACTCTAGAATAACTTATAAAAGTATTTGTAAAAAAACTTGAAAAAGTTGAGGCAAATTTGTAAAAAGTTTGTGCTAAATTTATAAATAAATAAAATGTTGTATATGCTATATCACGTCACATGGACCGACTATAGATAAACTTTCATGGTTAATTACCTCTTGATATAATAAAATGTTTAAGTTAGTGTTTTATGGATATTTAAAATAATTAGTTGGTTAAACTTGGTATTAGTCCGAGTTTATTAGTTAATTGTTTAGAATAAAGTGATTAAATATATACATTTAACATTTATAGACATTGGTTACTTTCACAAGTTTATTGCTCTTTAGAAAAAATCATCGGAAACCGAAAAATCTTTAATCGCAAGTCATAATGGTCTTATTTGAATACATTATTAAAGTTTATTGCTTTAATATATATAAAAAAAATCGACTAAATATGTATAGTTGCAAATTTTCGTTACCTTAACAATTCATTATCTCTTCAAAATAAACCCATAAAGTTTAGAAATAGAAAAAAGAATATACGAATTTCCAAAGCGGCAACAAATATGACATCTAATTGATATCCAACTTACTTTCACTGAAATTCTTATAATCAGTTAAAAAAGTTAACAGCTATTTATTATGACTTTAGCATTTTATATACTTCTTTTAATATCTCAAAGAGGGCTACAATGCAATAACAACATCTTCCGTCCTAAAATTTCATTTTTATCTCGTTAATGAGCAAACCATAACTGTTAAATAAAAATTCTAATCTAAATTGGTAATGAATATGAAAGCAATTATATAATATGCAAATATATTTCTCAAATCATGAACGATGGTTTGTCATAAGTATTCAAATTAACATATTTTAGAAGTTTCAATGTCTCATTCATTTTATGAAAGACACAACCACTACGTTTGACTCAGCCATCCACCCAGTTTTTATATAACAAAAAAAATTAAATATAAAAATAAAAATAATGCATAAAGATGTAAAAAACATAGTATACTATTATTGCACATTAAATTAAAGTCTGATAATTAGTAATAAATTCAATAGAAGTTAAAACATATTCTCATATTGTTCGTAATAACATTACCAAAATATAAAAGTAAATATAAAGTTGAAATCGATTTTTTGCATATAACTTTTAATGCAATATTTATGGTCGTGTAAGTCAAACCAACAGATAATTCCAAACCTGAAACATAAAAGCTAATAATATCTAATATTTGGATATATTATGTTGATAGATGTAAATTAAAACGTGTATTTTTTATTTTAAACATAACAAAAATAATTTCTAGTTTTTACAAATATAAAAACTATATAAAAAACCAAAACAAATATATTTTAAAATAGCTTTGAATTATATTTTCTATTTTTATTTTTGACCAATACCAACACCTTTCACGTGAACTTATTTCAAAATTGGGCCCAAAATCGGAAAACCTTACAAAAATCCCCAATTTCCCACAATTTCCGAATAGTATTAAAGCCTCTCACTCAACGATTCTGAGAGAAAAAGGTAAAAGCACTGTGAACACTGAAGAAACACCAAACCCTTCGTCAAATTGATTTCAGACAAATCCGATGAAGGGCGGAGGTAGAAGGAGGACCATAACCTCCGATCTCCGATCACCACCGTCGCACTCGGTCCATTACGAGACCAATGATCAAGGGAGCGATCAGGTTCAGTACGACCAGCAGCAACAGTCGATGAACGACGGCGACGATGGTGGAAATGAGTACAATGAAGAAGAGGACGAAGAATACGAGGATGAAGATCAATCGGGAGACGTGGATTTCACCGGAGGAGGAGCTGATGGAGGTGAAAGCAACGGTGACAACGAGCGACCTAAGCTAGCTGAGGGTTTCTACGAGATCGAAGCTGTGAGGAGGAAACGGATACGGAAGGTTTATTATAGTTTTTTGTTTGTGTTTCATTGCTTTATTAGAATACTTTCCTTATGTATAACGTACATTTGGCCTAATTTTGCGGCGCTTTTGTTCTTCGAACCTTCTGTCGTCTTCCTCGTCGTGGATTACTTCGGGAAAAAAGGGGGAAACGCAGTATCTCATCAAATGGTACGTGACCCTGTTATATCACATGTCATTTTCATATAATTATATCTAGAGAACATGTATTTGTTTTAGGGGTTCAATACTCATTTACTTATAGTTTCAAAACATCAAAATGTTTGGAGTATTGAATCATCCATGGACGTTTTCGATTCAAACCCCCATGGTTAGTTCCTGTTTCCAATTTCAAACTCAAATGTTACTCTTGATTTGTTCAAAATGTTAGTCTTGTTTCTGATTTGGTTCAAATGTAAAATTGCTTTTCACTCCAACCCATTTTAAAGCCATGGGGTCGTTGAAATACCTAAAGTCCTAAACATTACATCATGTGAAATGGATCTTTCATATAAGCATTAATTTTCTATTGTAACATGAATT